ATGCCATAAATGACGCAAGTTGGCAAAAGCTAGTCAAGCCTTTTGTATTCGTGCTGAGATTTCGTCACACCAGATCACAAGGGCTGATAAGACTCCCAATATAAGTGAGGAGGCCGACAGCCTGAACTACTTCATTTCCTATCATTAGTTCGGGTGTCGATGCAACCCAATCCTGAAGCAACATTTTGCATTTCGAGGGGGAGAATAGCATCCCGAACATGCTAGCACTGTTGCTTATAGTGGTCAGAAGACTGCATTTTGTCATCGTCTTCACCAAATAGAACTATGTCATCGGCATATTCTAAGTCAACAAGTGAATCTACCGGTGGAAGTTCAACTTTTGGAAATTAAGATGAGAAAAGTGTTATCTCTAAAAGCACATCAACGACTAAGTTAAACAAGAATGGAGAGAGGGGACAGCCTTGCTGAACACCATTTGAGGTAATCAGTTCTGATGACAGTTCGCTATAAGCTCTCACTCTACCAGTTGTGTTCGAGTAGAGAGCCTTTACAAGGTTAAAGTACTTCTTTGGTACTCGCCTAAAGTTCTTCAATATGGAGTTTGTGACCAGTAGCAGAAATATTCTCAGTTTGCCCCTCATAATTCAGCATAAAATATTCCTCATTGAAAATCTTATTTACTGACCTTCAACTAGTTATAATTAAGTTCTTTCAACTTTTTAATTACATGAAATAAAGATTTAGTATTTAGTCCGCAAATAGTTTGTTTTGACTGAAAATAACTTTATCTTTGTGATTCAAAATGCTTGTTGTTATATTTTGTGATGGTTCTAATCGGGTTTATATGTGAGATGTTTTTGGTGATCATACAATAACTAGTTTTTCTTACATTGTTTAACAGTTGTGAAACGTGACCTTTAAAGGTATATGGTGTGTGTAGAATGCTAATATCTGAACCTGTCTTTTAAACATTATTCAAGTTGAGGTGGTATTGTGGTGTGTGTTATTGACGTTGACAGATATAAGTAGTATGTATCGTCAATCGACAACAGAATGCTTGGTGGCAGAAGGTTGAAAAGATCGAATAGAAGAGAATGAAAGCAGAGAGTGATTGGTATGAAAATGAAGGAACAACAAAGTCTGAGATAATTGATAGATATTTTGCAAATGAAGAATTTACTGTTTGATTCTTTAATTTCGTATTCAAGTACATTTGGTTGTCCTCACTTGTATTCTCGTTCACCACACTATCAGTTAGTGAATGATCTGGCTTTCGAAAGGTAAATACAGCGAGTGGTAAATCGGCTAGTAAGGCTAACTGATATAAAAGAAGTAATCTGGGAAAATATATCACATTTGGATAAAACAAGTCATGGCACTTAATCTACATAGTTATTGAATTGAATTTTGTAGAAATATTCAGACTTAATGGTTATATAATAATTATCATCAATGGTTGTAAAGCTCAATTCCATCTCAAGATGACAACATAGAATGTGTTTAATTAAATCGGTACACATTTATATTTGTTAACAAAAGGGTTGATATTTATTTATTTATTTATTTGAACACATAAGTATTGGTACAAGAGAGCGCCAATATATATGCGCCACACAAAACAATGAGAATTTAAAGGGGAGGAAAAAGAACGAAGGTAAGGAGCGTAAAAAAAAGAGAACAATAACGAAGAGATTGGTGTAAGGTAGTGTAATAATAATAATGGTAATAATGGGGGAACGGAAAAGTACAATCGGAAGAAATCTTTCAGTTAAGGAAGATACAACCACTTTTTACGAAGAAAGTAAAAGGTTACAGCAGGATCGCCACTGGCTTCTATTCTGAGCCATATCTGATAACGTCTCTAGCCACTGTGTAGCACCATCTCTCGGACACCAGCCAGGGAGTCGTGAAGGACCAACACAAGCCAGTCCTTTGCAGCTTTCTTTCATACCACGACACCATGTCATGCACTGACCACCTCTCCGCTTCTTCCAACCAGTCCCAGAGTCGGCAAATAATGCACGACGTGGAATTCTCTGGGACGACATTCGGAGAACATGTCCAAGCCATCGAAGTCGGTGTTTCAAGATGGTGACACCAATTGAATTATCGTCTCTGTGCCCGAACACACGATGCCGAACCTCTGCATTACTGACATGGTGTTGCCACTGAATGTCAGCAATCCTTCGGAGACAGCGATGATCGAACACAGAGTCGTCTAACGTCTTCAACTCGGAGAGGCCAGGTTTCACAAGCATAGAGCAAAACTGCTCTCACCGACGCGTTGTAGATCCGGCCTTTTACAGCCAGACTAACATCACGAAGGCGCCAAAGGTGGCCCAGATTGGCATAAGCCGCTCTGGCTTTCACTATTCGTGCATTGATCTCATCACTCACACCACCACCAGCACTTATGCAGCTACCCAGATACACGAACTTCTCAACTACGTCTATCTGCTCACCGTCCAGGGTGAGTACAGGATTAGAATCCTGCCAGTCTTGTAGAAGTACTTTGCACTTCGAAGGTGCAAAGCACATACCATACCTACGGACACTGATTGCCAACTGATTAAGTGCGGATTGCATGGCTTGGGCATTATCGCACAGTAAGACAATATCGTCCGCATACTCAAGGTCGAGAAGTCTTTCTCCAGGCAACAGATCCACACCACCATTACTTACATTCATCAGAGCTGTTTCCAGAATGTCATCGATGGCAAAGTTGAAGAGGAATGGTGAGATTGGGCAACCCTGCCTAACCCCACTGCTCGAATGTAACAATGGAGAGAGGTGGTTGTATGCCCTCACTCTGCCTGAGGTGTTTTTATATAGGGCTTTCAGGATGTTAATAAACTTCTCAGGCACACCCTTCTTCAATAGACAATCCCAGAGAACAGTCCTATCCAACAAATCGAAGGCAGCCCTGATGTCAAGAAACACTACGATTGTTGGCCTTTGAAAGGTATGTCGGTGTTCTAACACCCCCGCCACGAGAAGGCAATGAGTAGGACTTCCCTGGCAGAGGCTGTATACGCGTGGCCGTGTGAGAGTATTTCGAGAGGGAGAGCGGACTCTCCCCACTCTCGGGCGTACCAGGGCATTCAGGGGGCAAAGGGTTGATATCTCTTCCTAGACCTATGTTGTTTTATTAATTACAATTATTATTTTGTCAGAACTGTTTTTCTAATTGAGTAATTGTCAAAATATTTATAAATTAATATAAATGTATTGTGCATTATGTTACTTATCACTATCTATGTTAAATATACCTTCTGGAGTTTAATTAAATGTCTAGTGGCTAATGTCATGTGTTTATTTAATAGTTGAATTCATGAGTCAATCGAAGCTAGACCAGCATAGAAAACCTGGAAGCACTGGACGGTTGTTCCATCCTACTCTGGGACTCCTCAGCAGTGCGCATCCACGATCCCGCCTCACGAGGTTCAAACCTAGGACCTATCAGTCTCGCGTGGGAACGCTTAACCTCTAGACCAATGAGTCTGGGATCGAAACCCGCCAGTGGGATCATGGATGCACACTGCTGAGGTGTTCCATACTAGGATGAAACGGCAGTCCAGTGCTTCCAGGTTTTTCATAGTGGTCTGCCTTCAATTGATTCATGAATTCAACTATGAAATTACTATATCCACAAAACTCCTCTCTAATAATAATGTCACGTATGTGTCTATTTCATATTGTCGACGGAATTCTATCGGTCAAGTTTCAATTTAACCACTAATCTGTCTGTGACTCAAATTTATATGCATTATGTCTTGTTGTTAGCTAGCGGTTATCGGCCGAGAGTGGGGAGAGTCAGCTCTCCCTCCCCAAATGCTCTCATATAGCCAGGTGCATTCAACCACTACCAGGGAAGTCCTTCTCACGGCATTACTGTTGTTTACGAGATTCAGAGGACGAAAAGCGAATGTCCGGCGCTTTAAGTGGGTTGGTGGATACTGAGAATCCACCTAGGAAGGAGAGTTGGAAAATGCTGATTGGAAAGGAATGGTGTAGATGGGCTTCAGGATGCTAAGGAAATAAAAGGTGTATGAACGAATTGTTGGTCACCAGGCTACCATGTGCCTACATCTCTTTACGTTGCTCCACTGTCTTGTGGACTAGAATTTTAGGTAAAAGTTTCGGGGTGTGTTGTTCCTAAAAAAACCACTTACTTCGTTTTGGGCACCCGGACAGTATCCCAGCCCTCACATGAATCAAATGATTAATGTGTTTAAATAAATAAGTAAATAAATGTTTCATACAAACTAAAGATCGTCATCGAGAGGATACTTACAATCTTTAGGAAACCGAATCACTCAGTCCCATAGTAACAACGTTCAACCTTTTCTTGTTGTTGTTGTTGGTGTTCCGAATTCATCTGAAAAAAAATCTGTTTAAAATACATTTTTGTATTGTTTCTTTTATACACTACTACTTTTATTTTTAAATTATATCTGTATTTATAATATTTATTATTTATTTATTTGAACACATAGATATTGGTACAAGGGGGCACCAGATACATATGCGCCACACAAATCTAATAAGATTTGTGTGAAGGCTGTGATACTGCCCAGGTGCCCAGACCGAAGCAGGTGGTTTTCTTAGGGGGCCACACCTGGAGCCTTTGACCTGAAGGTCTAACCAACAAGGCAGTGGAGCAACGTCTGGAGATCCAGTTCTATGGTAGCCGGTGATCAACGATTGCTTCATACGCCATTTGCTCCCTCAGGATACTGGAGCCTATGTGCACCATTGGTTTGGGATCCGGTTAAAGCGCCGGACATTCGCTTTTCGTCCTCAATTTCGTAAACAACAGTGATGCCACGAGAAGGCAGTGAGTAGGACTTCCCTGACAGAGTCTGTATACGCGTGGCCGTGTGAGAGTATTTCGAGAGAGAGAGCGGGCTGACCCCACTCTCGGCCGTACCAGGGCATTGGGGGGCTGTATTTATAAACTTTTTGTTGTTGTTATTCTTGTTGCTTTCTACATCATCTCTATCTATCTATATATCTATGTACTCTCTTAATCATAGATAATGTTAATCCGGAATTATTTAGATCAAAATGCTCCATCTTTACAAGATTTTGATCAACTTATACAATCCTATCAATTAGAATATGGTATTATCCTATTAAGAGATTATCAAAAATTATTAAAAATGTATAATACTACTGAAATATCATTTCATGAATTTAAAAATCATACAAATTATTTATTACAATATATATGGGAAAAATTACATACGGGTCATTGGAAAAATGTTCATATTTGTTGGCGTATATTATATTCATCTATTAAATTATTAATTGTATTATATTATTTATATAAAAGTAATAATAATGATGATGATGATCCTAATTCTTATCAGTTTGATCCTGATCATCCAAATGATCATGATCGCGATCATTATCATCATCCTTTTATAGAATTAATTAAAGAATTAGATCTTAGTTTAATTATGGGTTATCCAATATTTAATCAATTCGCATCGAAATTAGCTTCTAAATTACATCAAATTATTCTGATTAAAAGAAGATTATGTAATGAAAATGATTTATCATTATCTAGATTATTTCAATTAGATGATCATAATCATGATCCTGATATTGATCCTGATCTAGATCATGATCCAGATCGATTTATTCAAATCAATGAACAGATCAAAATCAATTTGAATAAGTTAGATCGTATTAATTGTCCAAGTATTGAATTATTTAATGATTTAATAAAATTTAATAAACCATTTATTATAACAAATGCAATCAATTTTTGGCCAGCCTATAATAATAATAATCAACATAAATGGACTATAAATTATTGGTTACATCATTATGGTTATCGTTTAGTTCCTATAGAAATTGGTCAAAAATATACACAAGAAAATTGGGGACAAAAATTAATGACAATTCATGAATTTATTAATCATTATTTTAATCAATCAATAATCAATAATGAGAATACAATGAAAGGTTATTTAGCCCAATATGATATCTTTACACAAATACCAGAATTAGAAAATGATATTTATATACCAGATTATTGTTATGTTACTGGGGGTAATGAACCAATCAATAATAGTGATGATAATGATAATCATCATCATCATCATATTGATACCATAGAAACAAATATATGGTTTGGTCCAAAAAATACTATATCACCATTACATCATGATAATGATCGTGCGAATTTATTAACACAAATTCATGGTTATAAATTGATTATATTATATTCTAGCTTAGAAACAAAGAATTTATATCCATATAATGATAATCCAATGTTATGTAATACATCTAAAATAGATTTAGATCATTTGAATATTGATTTAATGAATGAATTTCCTAAATTTCAAAATGTTCATGGTTATTATAGTATACTTAAACCGGGTGAAATGTTATATATACCACCGCGTTGTTGGCATTATGTTCGTTCATTAACAGCAAGTTATTCAGTGAATTTTTGGTGGAATATTTCATCATCATTAATACCATCATGGGAATAATAAGTATTATTATTATTATTATTATTGCGTATGGATCTTTTTTGAAATTCTTCTTTGTTTTGTCGTTTGCAATGGCTGGTTGGGATCTTAGAGACGACATCAGCCAATGGTTAAAGATCTTGAATGAAATGGTTCAAAATTGTTTACAATGGCGCAGGTGTAATTCACTCTTTATGTTCTCCCAAATTGTAATCTTCTGAATTGTTCATATCCCTTATTTTCTCTATCCAAATTTATTTCACTGTATTATAGTCATTGAATAACATCTTTAAATCCTAACGTTTCCGATTACTGCTTATACTTTTACTACCTCTAGCACTACGGGATTTGAATCGACAACTGTATCTCAGTGCTAATGTGGTGTGGCAACTCGAAGTGATGTACGTACGTACGATATTTTACGTTGTTACTGACTGACTGACTTGCTGTTGTTGTTCTTGCTGAGTACGATTGTGGATTGTACAATAAACTTTATTTTTTGAAAAAATAATAAAATGTGAATTTTGTCGTTTTTGTTTGTTTGTTTGTAGAATAATATTTGATTTGGTTTACTCTTACAATTCATTGTAATGAAGTATTGCCTTGAATTTGTTTATTTATTTACGACTGGTTACTAATTATAACTCCGCCTGGAGCTCCTCCGGGGGCTCCTGTCAATTTTAAGCCCGGATAAAAGAGGAGGGTTGGTCATGAGGTTAGCGACATCATCCCTTAGAAAACTAACTTGCTAAAAAACGCTAATCATAAAAAATAATTCAAACTACTTAAACTCTACTCCGGGTGTTAGAAGGTCTTCATTTAGAAGAGTTATGACACTTCATGGTGAAAGCCGAGTTCGTTCAGAAGTCAAAAGGCTAATTCTCCTTCTAACAAGCAGAGAAACCATTTATTTGGGTACATGGAATGCTCGTCAAGTGTGGGAGATCGGGAGAGTCTTCCAAATTGCTACAGAAATGAAGAGATACAACTTGGAAATTACTAATTATAATTATCAGTCAGTTATATCTGTACATCAGTTGAAGTTTTCATACGATATTAGCATACTAAGATAAAATTATCAAGATAATTACTAGAATGGTGGTAGTAAACAAGACTGGTCATAAACAACACGATTTGAGAAGCAGTAATGTATTCATTTTTAGGAAAAGTATATGATAATCTTGAAATTCGAGATCTAAGGAAAGAAAAAGAAGCAGAGTGAATACATCTACACTATTGTGACCGATTCTGAGACATATCATCTAAAGTATCTAATTAATAGTTATGATAATCACGCGGATACCAACCAGGTTAGTCAGTCAGAAACAACATAGAACTTCGTATGTACGTACATCCGTCCAAGTTGCTATACCGCATTAGCACACAGATACAATAGTCGATTCAAACCCTATAGTAGTAGAGGTAGTAATAGTATAAGCAGCAATCGGAAAGATTAGTGTTTGAGATGTTATTCAATGAGTATAATCCAGTGAAATAAATTCGGAAAAAGAGAAAAGAAGGAACATGAAGAATTTGGGATAACACAAAGAGTGGATTCACCTGTGCCATTGCAAACGATTTTGAGCCATTTCACCCAAGACCTCTAACCATTGGTTGGTATCGTCTCGCGAATCCCAACCAAGTAGTCTGCACCTACTTACGTGATTCAGTAGAATATTCACAGAATTCATGAACCGATGCCATATTTTATTTCGTTTTCCCTTTTCTCTCTTCTGCCCTAATGCAATACCAAACAACAACGCCGTTCGATTTTAGTGGTGGTTAGGCATGTGCAGATATTCATCTCTAACTAAATACTAATAACCGACAAATGTCATCTTTTAAATGTATAACTATAAATCTCTATATGATTCATGAATTTGAAACAAAAAATTATTGTTTAGAAGATTGTCTACGCAAATCGTGACTCTTATTTCGCAACATATTCTGAGATTCCACTGGAATAATTAAGATACTAGGATTAGAAATGAAAAGACTGTCCCAAGAGACATGTATTAGAACTGTACCACGATATATATCTTATAGTGATGAAGTCGATGGATAACTTTGAATAGTTCTGTTAAGTCTTGCTGATTGGACGTTATATTCGTTCCTAAGCTATTCTGATAACCCGCACGCTAGAACTATACAGCGACCTGAACACCAGAAAGAAGACGCAAAATATGAGAGAGACACTTTACTCCAACGTTCGTTTTTGTACAGAAAACATGGATATTTATAGATGTTAAATCAACATCATATTTCGGCCAATCCGTTAACGACATATTATGCTACTGACCAATAGTAGCACACCACGTTGGAATTCTAGAATGCTCCATCATGCTCTGATTGGCTAGGACTCTTCGGCTCCTTCTGGGCCTCTGGAGGCTCTGTTGAATTTCTCCGACAGTTGACTCAACAAGTTCACATCAAGTGAGTACGTTATTATGATAAAATAAGAATGAAAAGGCTATAATTTCTTACTTAAGTTGAAGGGAGTTCATTTTTAACAATAGTACACAGTTAATATGGTCTTGCAGTTCATCCTATTCTCAGACAATAGCAAAAATGTAAATGGTCAAGAATTCATTGTTTGTTTTTCTGCACTTGACTAATTGAACATTTTCTATTACGTAATTATGATAGTTTTTACATTGATCTCCACTTTCTTCTGATGTTTTGAGACTAGAATAAAGCCTAGTTACAAACTAATAGAAAACGGTGTCCGTTTATATATATTTCTCTAATTTTTACAGTGGCTCTTTACTACTTACTATCAAAAAGTAGTTTGAACAATACTTAGTAATTTTGTAGTTTGGATTTGAAATTCAGTCAGTCAGTTACAACGTGGAACTAGGCATCGGTTCTGGTTGTCACGCCTTATTAGCACAAGATGAGCACCAAATTCGTAGTAGTGGTTACTTTAAAGATAGTAATATATGAAAAGGAAGATTGTGTATCAGGGTGTAGTACAGGAAGAAAGAATTAGTTCGTAGAAAGATATAAATCAATTTTTAATTTCACGGTTTAAAGGAAGATAGAATGTATACACCGACGCCATTATGATCGATTTTGAGTCATGTCACTCATAGTCTCCAACCATTGGTTACGATAGTCACGCGGACTTTAACCAAGTTGTCTGCATCTACCAACATGACTCAGACTAAAAGTTAGTGACTTCAAGTACTGATTCCACGTTTTGGTTTGACCACTCCCAAATTTCTTCCAACTATCCCTAACACCGGTTAGCATTGCACGTCGTGGTAATTGGTGTTTGGGCATATGTAACACGTGGCCCAACCATCTCAGTCGATGAAGATATACAACCTCATTAGCTGACTTACCACCATTCCCTAATACCCTGCGTCGAACCTCACTATGACTTACCAGGTGATCCTAGCAGATGCGAGCAATATTTCCAAGACATTTGTAATCAAATGCTAGTAGCTTACGAGCATCTTCTACTCTTGATGGCCACGTCTCACAGCCGTAAAATAGAACAGAACGAACTGCCGCGCAGTATATTCACCCCTTCATTGATAGACGAATATTTTGCATTCGCCAGAGGTGACGTAAATTGGCAAAAGCCAAGCGAGGTTTCTGAATCCGTGCTGATATTTCGTCAGACACCAACATATTAGGTCTTATCAGGCTTCCAAGATAAGTGAAGTTGTCAACGCGTTTGACTACTTCACTCCCTGTCCTTAGTTCAGGTGTTGACGCAGGCCAGTCCTGAAGCAATTGGATATTTATCAAAGGAATTTATATTCCTTTGCAGCAGTTAATCTAAGTACAATCCACACTCGACACCATTCAACTCCCTGGGTTTTTTTTGTCTGGGTTAAAGGCCCATCTAAAAGAAACTAATCGTTTTGTGACCTTTCTTCTCCCTGATTATTCATTTGTTAGCTGATAAATAACTCACAGACATACTGTTTTAGTATATAATTGAAAGTTTATATCTCTAATATACATTTGAATATTTACGCAGTCGGAAATTAGTTACGATTTTCGAAATATGTTAGTTCAATATACATGGGTTTATGTAAGCAATGATGGATAGTCGCTAGCAGTGGAATCCAGGACGCGTGTTTCGTCCTATTTGGGACTCGTCAGCTGGATATACCTGCATCTCAGAGTTGATGTTCACTCTGGGACTCGAACCTAGTACCATTCATTTCAAACGCCATCGGGTTTACTTTTAAGCATGTTTTTTTTTATCACATCGATTCAACCATCATAGCATTAACGTAGAACGAACAAGTGATTATCTTGAATTTCACTATAAGACATCATAAATAAGAGATATAATTTCAATAATACAATACTAGAAAACAAATATTAGGTTTTGAATTCTATTTCTTGTGAGATTTTACTGAATCTTTGTCGCTTCAAATAGTTCTTTACCTCCAATGTTTCAGTATACTTTAAGTCTAGATCAAGTACTGTATAATTCGCTCTCAAATGCCTTTGTACGGCGAGAGTAGGGAGAGTCAGCTCTCCCTCTCCAAATGCTCTCATATGGCCACGTACATTCAACCACTGCAAGGGAAGTCCTCCTCACTGCCTTCTTACGTTATTACTGTTGTTTACGAGATTGAGAGGACGAAAAGCGAATGTCCGGCGCTTTAAGTGGGTTGGTGGATCCTGAGAATCCACCTAGGAAGAAGAGTTAGAAAACTCTGATTGGAAAGGAATGGTGTAGATGGGCTTCAGGATGCTAAGGAAATAAAATGTGTATGAACGAATTGTTGGTCACCAGGCTACCATGTGCCTACATCTCTTTACGTTGGTCCACTGTCTTGTGGATTAGAATTTTAGGTAAAAGTTTCGGGGTGTGTTGTTCCTAAAAAAAACCACTTACTTCGTTTTGGGCACCGGGGCAGTACATCGCCCCTCTCGTAAATCGGATAATTTATATGTCGCATATCTATTTGATACCTCCCTGTACCAATGTTTATGTGTTTAAATAAATACTGTATAATTCAATAAAGTCATGTAAAGTCAAAGCAAATTTTATTGCAGAAGAACTTAAAATGAAATTTTCAAGTATCAA